GAAACATATTTCATCTTATTTGGGCTTTTATTTGACATACCAAATGAAAGGGACCTGAGTATTTTATGCTGGTTTAGAACGTACTACAAAAAGCTGCTTTATTTTTCGTAAATTGTGAACATAATCTTCTTGTTGCAGAATCTGATTTTTCTCATGATCTTCTGAGCCTCCTTCAGTGCCTTCGATTAATTGGCGAATCAGTTTCTGTGGAAATGGCACTCACAATGGAAATGGCTTGCTTCCGTCTCCAGTCTCCAGAGAGAGCTGCTGAACAGATCCTTAAAGACTTGATTGCTAATGACACGTAAGCCTGGATTTTGAGCTACATGTGCATATAAAGATTGATTTGCTCATTTCCTTTGCAGCATTGAATTGATTAGATGTATTTACATATCTCTCTTGAGGGTATTTATTTTGACCATGACCACGAGTGGCTTAATTATGTCATACTTGGACTGTTGTAATATATTCTAAAGATTCAGAAACATTTTGCACTTTTGTTATGTTGCTTGTCTTGAAAGGGAATAGTATAATGAACATGTATGTAAACTGTTATCATGTTTAAGGATAGGAATGGGAGCAAGAAACCCTGAGAGGCAAACTATTCCATTCCACCATTAAATCTTGCTGAAATCCCCCAAATGACTTGAAATTGCATAGAGAAATTTCGGCCATTTTGCTGCTGAATTTCAGTGCCATGAGTGAGGGCCTTGGAAGCTGTAGTAGGTATTTTGTGGGGGGATGGGTAATACATCTTCCCAACATCTTCACCAGGCAGTTTTAACTTGCCATTTTGTTCCCAACAAGAGTTGTTCTTCCTTTTCATGAAGAAAAATGATTACAGAATGAATGATTACAGACATGCCTGTCACTAATCTACTGCATCTTTAGTTCACTTTCAATTACTGGTTTCTAGTTGTGGAGGCAGACTGGAAAGAAGGAATGTATATTTCAGAATAATGAAATAAAATCTTTTTGGGCCTTTTCCCTTCAGGAAGCAAAGGCAGCTAAGTTGATGCCTCTTGTAAAAAGCAATCTTCCAGTGTTAAGGTTCCACTTCTTTAGGCCTTAATCAGTTCTTGATCAAGAACTGAAAGATTTGAGTTTTGCTCTTAAAAAAAGTTTGGAAGTTTGCATTAGGCTCACTTGTTTGATCAGACAATTGAATCACTAGGTTTCTAGGAGAATAGCATGGCGGTTTGTTTTGTGTTAAAGCCTTGTATTAAATCTCTAGAATCTCTCAAGCAAGAAAATTGTCACATAAATTCACAGTTGAACTATAGGCATGGTGACTATATTTTCTTGAAAAAATAAAAGAGAGTTGAAAAGAGGTCATATTTGAAAGAGACTCATAAAGATAAAAATCATTTTAGGTTTATAACTGCTTTACAAAGCAAAACCAAGAAAATAAATAAATAAATAAATAAATCTAAAGGGCACATTTCTGTAATAAGGGCTGTCCTTTATAATAAAGGTCATATGTTCCCTATAACTATATGTCCTGTGTGAAATTATTAATCTGCACTTAACAAACAGTATATGTCTTATATTTATATATATAAAGGTTTTTATTGAGTTTTATAAGGTTTGGGAAGGGATAGGATCAGGATGGGGATTAAGGTTCGGGGTGGGGTTGGGATCAGGATTGAGGTTGGGACGGGATTGGGAACAACATTAGGGTTGCCCCCCAGTAACATTTTCAAGCTTTAGCAAACAGACTATTGTCCGGGTACATATGTTCAGTAACACTAATTAATATAATAGTAAATAGCTGTAATGAATATGATAAACAATCATAAACAGTATCAGTTGGCCAATACATATCATTCTTCTTACTAATATATATTCAAAATAACATCACATTCATTTCTCACTAGTTCTTTTTCCTAACCATTGGTAAAAATTATCCCATGTTTTAAAGTAAACTGAATCTTCTTTCTCTTTAATCTCTAAGGTTAATCTATCCATTTCTGCACACTCTAAAATTTTCTTAATTAAAATCTCTTCAGTTGGTAAGTTTTCATTTTTCCAGTATTGGGCAAATGCTATTCTCGCTGCTGTCAATACATGCAATATTAAATAACAGTATATGTCTTGACGATCACTAGTTTCAGACTAATGTGTTAAGGAAGTATCAACATACGAGATATCAAGTTAAGAATCATTGAGAGATAGTAAATATGCCACAAAATTACTTCACTTTCATAATCTATAATCTCTCAATAATCTCTTAATTCAGCCTACTTAAATTTTACTTATTTTTTGCAGAGAAAATATGATGGAAGATATTCACAGCAAACTACAAGAAATCAAAAGTCCAGTTAATGCTATTGGGATGCTTATCCGGGAAATGGACTATGAAACAGATGTTGAGATGGATAGAGGATTCAGTCCTGGTGAGAGGAGAACAGCATTAGCCTCTCCTTCCCATCCCCAACATTCTGATTAAATAGAAGCAACTTAAGTTAATACATGTTTTTTGCCTCTTTCTACAGTTCAGCCCATAAACGTGCGCATGCATCTGTCACAACTTTATGGTAGTAGCACAACAGTAAATATGGTATGCCGGTGTGTGTACAAGATGTCCATGACACGCTTTTTAATTTGCCGGGACCTGTTGATTTTACAGCAGCTCTTACTACGGCTTGGAGATGCTGTGAGTATATCAAACACTAATATCCTTCGGAATCCTAAAACACCCTACTTATGAAAAACATTAGGGGCACATTTTATGATAGAGGGCAAGAAATAGATCAGTAATGGAAAAATTTTGCTGGATAAATATTGTCATTTGACAAACGAGCATAACATGCAGAAAGTTGTTAATAAATTGCTGTGTGGTGTCTCTGGCATTGAACTTGAATTATTTTCACATTTATGTGTGATCATTGTTTCTTTCTCAGTGTTACCAAATTAGCTACAGTTTAATGTTTATTGACATGTTTCAGATACTTTTGGGAGGAGATCAGCTATTCCACACTCAACAGAACTTACTACATCGTACATCTATTTTGTTACTATCTTATTATGTGATAAGGTGGGCAAGTCAGCGTTTGGCATCAGATGTTCCTGTTGATGAACTGTAAGTGTTTTATGTTTAGTGTATAAATATATAGGTATATAATGAAGTATATAAAAGTGTATTTATTTTCCTTTGTATATAAAATAGGCATGTTTTATTTTTATTTTTTTGCATTGGAAACAATTTGTCCAAAGTCTGCTTATGACTATTACATTTCAATGGAATTTTGTTAGGAGATGGTTTTGTGAGGAGATGGAGAAGATTGTCTGTTATTTAAAACAATGTACAGATGAGTTACGTTATCCTGAATGTCATTTTTATGTATTTCAGTATATAACATTTCCAAATTGATCGGTCCATCCATATTTGAAACTGTAAGACTTCATAAAGTCTTCATCATGTTATTTTTCAATGATGAATTGTTATTTTAACAATAGGAAAAACAAATTTGATGATATCCAAGAAAATATTTAACATTCTTGTAGAAAGTATTAAGCTTTTATTTTTAAATATGATAGATCTTTGTCTTCCCATTAACCTATTTTTTAAGTTTTTATTTTAAGACTTTCTTCATCCTAGTTACAGTTAAAATATAGGGTTAGAATTATATAACTAAGTATGTTAAATGAGATAATTGATCTTTTTGTAGGGAATCAAACCTACAGCATCTTTCGGTATTAAAGCTAACAGATTCCACAACAATAACACCATTGAAGCTGGGTAAGAAATTGTCTGTCTGTCTGTCTGTCTCTGTCTGTCTGTCTGTCTGTCTGTCTGTCTGTCTGTCTGTCTGTCTGTCTGTCTGTCTGTCTGTCTGTCTATCTATCTATCTATCTATCTTATTTCGTAATCACCCATCTCCCTCAGAGAGAGGCTCTGGGTAGTGTACAATATAACCAATAAAAATTAAAATCAGAATTAATTTAAGATTAAAAGGTTTTAAAATTGTAAAAGTAACATACATTTCAAAACGCTTTTGCCTTTGTTTTAGTATTTGTTTTCATTTTATGCTTAATTTCAAATAATAACATTAATATTAAAGATTTTTCCAGTTGATCAATAATGTTATTAGATCAAATACATTAAGAAATCACAAAATATTGCTCAGCTGTTAAAACCGATGAGATCCTTTAAACATTATTAAACAATGTTTATTCTTATTATAAACTTCTTGCTCCGCATCCTATGCCCCGAACCTCTTACATTTCCATGGCATCATCCACTTTCTGGTGTTTTTGCAGTCACCTGCCTTCCACTTCCCTGATATTTCTGTGCTCATGTAACCAGTGCACCCACTTGCATGCCTGTGCACACGCTACAGCACCTCCTGTCCCCTGCCCCCCCCCCCAACTTGTGCATAGTCTGTGCTGGACTTCCCAAGGCATTCCCTGGCTTCTCTCACCCCACTTATGAAATCCCCCACAATCTTTGCCTGGGACTTACACGGCTTCCTGCTTATTGATCCACATGTCTTAAGGTTATGATGACAACTGGGATTGTTGGGATTATCATTGTTGCAGTCTTGTGATGTCACGCTTAGCAACAGCAACAGCAGGTTCCAATTGCTGTCGTAACCCAAGGACTATCTGTATCTTAAAATAAAAAAATCTTCCCCACATAGCTTTATCAGAAATAGAATATAGAATGGAAAAGTAATTTAAATTGAAAGACTGTTTGGTGACTAATAATACATTCTGAAAGTTATTGCTCTGTAATTGATTTTTACAATTTATTAAAATATTTTTTTCTAGTGTCAAGCCCTCAAACAATTGTGGAGCTCTTCTTTCAGGAAGGAGCCCGGAAACACATAATATCTCAGCTCTTCCAGTCTAATGCAGCCTTGGATGAAACATGTTTGAGTTGGCCTCAAATGTTTTCGGCAATTTCCAGTTATCTACTGCAATTTTTGTATCCTTTCAACATATCCCTGACCTGAATAATGGATCATGGCTAGGCTTTAAAAAAAAATCAACTTGTGTAATAGCCATGAACTTTTCCATTGTTTTGCACACAGGTGCATATAAACAAACTGACCTATTTCAAGTTGTCGTATTGCAAAGCATCTTTTGCAGAGATAGTAATGAGTTCAGCTAGGAACCAGCCAGAAATAGTTTAATTGGAATCAGCTATCAGTTCTTTTCCCCAGAAGAGAATGAGATATAGTTGATCCAGATTGGCTACTTGTTGATTTCCTAGTTTTTGTTGCGTGTCTTTCTCCTTTTTTGCATTTTAAATACTACTGTTTCATTATTCGTTAACATTTTTATTCATTTTTCGAATGATTCACTTTGTAAACGATACTGGAAATATAGTTTCTTGCTCTGAATTTACATGGAGGGCCACTGCCTTGTCATACATCGAAGAAACCTATATTCCTTATGCTGTCTTCAGGTGGCCCAGTAATCCTAGCTTCCTCTTCCCAGAATGTTTGATGGGGGCGTGTCAGTATGCTCAATTACAGGTGAGATCTCTACGTGGAATACCTTTGGAGTATTCTTTAAACAAAACATAAGCAAGGTAACTGATGTAATTGGTTATTAGTAGAATGCTGAGGTAGCTATAACCACTGAAAACTTCCTTCTCTTTCTTTCAGCTGATACTAGTTGTATTTTGCTTGCTGAAACTTGAATTTCAGAATGTATGACCCGATTTAGTTAGTTGGTAGCACTGGTGGCACATATTTTTTCATTGTATTTTAGTGAGAGATTATTATTTAAATCCAGTGCAAAGTAAGATTAACCTTTCTTTGTCTAATTGCTTTATTTGTATATCAGGAATATATTCGTTTGCTGGAACCTTGGTGTCATGTTAATGTGGGATCGTGTCGTTTTATGATGGCACATTGCTATCTTGTTACAGGAGAAGAACACAAGGTAAATTTATGTTCAAAAATGTTTCATTTTCTTTGGAAAATACTAAGTGATAGGTAATGTATTAAGGGTTGGTTTGTAATTATTCATCACATTCAAGAAAGGAATGTTATTTTTGAAAGTTTTGATGAATGTAGTTCAATCTAATTTTTAAAAAAAATCATCCAAAAAAGAAAAGGATCGACTGCATAACTATCAACCTCCTCATATCATCTACATCAGGGGTGTCAAACTCCCAACGTCACGTGACGTGTTGTGACGTATTGTGACTTTTTTTCCATTGCCGGCAATGGGGTGGACACGGTTTCGCCATGACGCATCTGGCTGTAGGTCGGCAGTTTGACACCCCTGACCTACATGCCATTATAATTCAATATCACAACTATCCTAAAGAGAAGCTTTTTAAAAAATAATAATAATTTGGAACCGTATTGGAATACAGAGGGTTACAACACTATGTATGTATATGGTTTTGTGGATTGTGTTCTGCTCTAAGAAATAACTTTTGGTAACAAACATATATGAGATTGACAATTTTTATAGCTAATTTTGTAATAGTTGGTAATACTTTTTATGACTTCCGTTTTTCCTCCAGGCACTGGACTGTTTCTGTCAAGCTGCCTCGGAAGTTGGAAAAGAAGAGTTTTTAGATAGACTGATTAGATCTGAAGAGGTAGAAATGGCTTCTACTCCACAGCTACAATACTACGATAAGGTATTTTTGTTACTGAGCAAAAGTAACACAATCTCATTGTCCTTGCAATTGCTGCATGTCTTTACAGTATAAACAAAGAGTGAAAATAAAACATTAGTGGCCAAATAACCCTCTCCCTAGGTTTTGCGCCTCTTGGACACCATGGGTCTTCCTGAACTGATCATTCAGCTGGCTACTTTGGCAATCACTGAAGCAGCAGATGATTGGAGAAGTCAGGTAGGAAGCCAAAATGCCTATTTGCCTCATACAGGATTTGTTTGTACCCTCTAACTAATTTTTTAATTGGTTCTGGGTTATCATAGCTACTATATTTATATTGCAGGCTACCCTGAGGACTTGCATTTTCAAACATCATTTAGATTTAGGACATAATAGTCAAGCATATGAAGCTTTGACTCATAATCCAGATCCAAGCAGGTAATGATATATATATCTTCCAGTCACATCTATGAATTATGTATGCATAATTTTATAAGTTTATAACAATAGCTGCTTATAAACCATGATGTTAAGGATAGGGCCTGTGGGAGAGAGCTGTTGAATTTTCATTTTCTTTAGTTCTTGTTATCTTGTTCTTGTTTTGCAGAAAAAGTGAAAATTTGGTCATTAATGGAGAAACAAATTGGTGTTCAAAATTAGCCATAGTTTTTGCACTTCAGCATTGATCATGCTTCATGAACCACTGCACAAATTCCTCTTATTGCCCTGTTTTTAAGGGAAACCGAATTATTTATTCAGTGGGTTGTTTAGATAGAAACATGTGACTGTTTTACCCACCAATTATGGATTCTGTTATTCTGTGCTTTGATTGATGTATTAAATCTCTTTTTGTGAAAGAACTAGCTGTGTGTAAATGAAATTGCTTAAGTAGAAGGTATTTCTATAATCAGAATTGTAGTTTGTGTGTATGTGTGTGTAATATGGGCTTCTTCATCTGCGCCTATATTAGACCTCTTGCTTACAGAGATGATGGTTGTAAGATAAATTTGTTTATGAACCTTTTGCTTCATTTTTTTCCCCAGGCAACTGGATTGTTTACGACAACTAGTAGTAGTTCTCTGTGAACGCTCCCAATTGCAGGATCTTGTGGAGTTTCCATATGTGAATCTTCATAATGAGGTATGTCATCTATTCTCCTTAATAGCAAGATAAAGTTACACAAAATATTTGGCTATGTTTGATAAATATTATTTGTTTTACAGGTTGTTGGAATAATTGAATATCGTGCTCGGGCAGTAGATCTGATGACACATAATTACTATGAATTGCTATATGCTTTCCATATTTATCGTCATAATTATCGGAAAGGTATGAGGGGATATATAGAAATGTTGTCTCATTCATTTTTTTAAAAAATACTTTTTTGTTGTTTTTTTTACTGCAGTTTTAAAAAATATACAAAAGTGAGCAAAAACAGGTTTTATCCAAAGGATAATCCTATTGTTAAGTTATATTACCAAAAAAAAAACAATAGAACAAACAATAACCCTTAAAAATTGTCATGTTAAATTTATGTCAGTCATCTGTATTTCACATATATGCTGTATTTAATAATTATTAAGAGAATTGATTCATGTGGCATTTGTTAGATACAGGTTTCCTAAACACAGTTGTGCAAAAGAACAGTTGTAGGTCCTGTAGTTTGTAAGGGAGAGTTGGCAGTATGAATGTTGTTAATAACTTCTGCTCCACAGTTTTCCTGTGTGTCTTTCCTTGCATTTTCCTTATTTGTCTTTACCTTTAATTGTAGAAAAGTGTAGAATGGAAAAGAGCTTCACATGCATCTCTGATCTGGTCAACAATTCATGGGAGAATCTAAGACTCAGCAATGGCTTATTTACTTCTCCTTTTCCTGCCCCCCACATAGGAGAGAGAGGAGAAATCAATAAGCCATTGCTGAGTTTTAGAAGTTTCATCCAAGCATAAACATTGCAAAACTTTACAGTCTTAGATTCTCCCATTATTATTATTATTATTATTAATTGCATTTATATCCCGCCCTTCTCCTTTCGGACTCAGGGCGGCTGACAGATGATAAAAAGCTAACATAAATACATATTACACCTAATTAAAATTTAATTAAAACGAAATATTTGAAAGTGTCCAATTAAAAGTAATTAAAACCCCTATAAAATCCCCTAGGCCAGTCCCGCTTGCT